TAGGCAACAGAGACATGACAGGGGGTATCACAATCCCCAACTTGAAACCATACTACAAAGCCACTGTGATAAAAACAACATACTACTGGCAAAGAAAAACACCTGAGGATCAGTGGAATAGACTAGAAGATACAGAAACAACTCCACATGTACTCAGCTAACTCATCTTTGACAAAGGAGCCAACCACCCTCAGTGGAGGAAAAATAGCCCCTTTAATAAATTCTGTTGGAAAAACTGGATTTCAACCTGCCAAAGATTAAAACTAGACCCTTATCTTTTATTATGCACTAAACTAAAATCCAAATGGATTAAAGATCTAAATATTAAAATAGAAACACTAAACTTACTGGAAGATAAGTTAGGCAGAACTCTCAAAGATATTGGCATAGGAAAAGACTTGATGAACAAATCCACAGTAGCATGGGAACTAGCAGAAAGAAACAACAACTGGGATCTCATCTTATTAAAATGCTTCTGCACTGCAAAAGAAGCCACCAAGTGAGCCAAGAGACAACGTACAATGTGGGAAAAAATTTTTACCAGCTGCCCTTCAGACAAAGGACTATTATCCAGAATATATAAAGAACTCAAAAAAATCAGGTCCCCCAAATATAAAGACCTGATTCAAAAATGGGCACCTGAAATGAACAGACATTTCTCAAACAAAGAAGTAAAAGCAGCAAATAAATATATGAAAAAATGTTCAACATCACTGGTCACTGGAGAGATGCAGATGAAAACAACACTGAGATTCCACCTCAGCCCACAAAGAATGACTGCTATCAAGAAATTAACCGGTAACAAATGTTGTTGGGGTTGTGGGGAGAAAGGAATCCTTCTTTATTGTTGGTGGGAGTGCACACTGGTGTAACCACTGTGGAAATCAATATGGAGATACCTCAAAGATCTAGGACTAGAGGTCCTATTTGACCCAAGCTATCCCTCTGCTGGTATCTTTGCAAAAGAATTAAAAGAATAATACCACAGTGATATATGCGCACCCATGTCTATAGCGGCACAGTTTGTAATAGCTAAAACTTGGAAACAGCCCGACTGCCCATCAGTTGGAGACTGGATAAAGAAGATGTGGTTTTTCTATAAAAACGAGTACTACACAGCCATAAAGAATGACAAATTAGTCATTCATAGGAAAATGGATGCATATTGAGGCCATACTCCAAGGTGAAATAAATAGGACACACATGTAAATACTGAATAGTTTCTCTGGTGTGAAAAATTGAAAGTGCAAATAAGATCCAAATTGTATAACTGATGTGAAATAGGAAGAAAAGAGCTAAATAAGTAGGGGAAGTGGGAAGGGCAGGGGAAAGGAAGGGAAAAGAAAAAATATGAGAAAAAGAAAAAATGGAAACAAAATCTTTGTAAATAGGGGAAGGGGAAGGGGGTGAAGGGTGGGCAGGGGTATGGGGAAAAAATGAGAACCAAGATCTGTCATGTAAGGGTACAAGATCCTAGTGATGAATATAACTGTACTGGATATCAATAAACTCAATGGAAAAAAAAAACATACCGAAAGAATAAGGATCAAAATGTATAATAGATCATTTGAAATAGGAAGAAAAAGTACAAGGAGAAGGGGAAGCAGGAATGGCAGGGGAAAAGAAACATGGGAATGGAATTAACATGAGAAAATGAAAAAAATGGACACAAAGTCTTTGTAGATGGGGGGTGGAGGAGTCGAAGGGAGGGCAGGGGAATGGGGTGCAAATCTCCAATGATAAATGTCATTATATTGTATACCTAAAACGTACCAATAAAATTAAAGAAAAAAAAAAGTGAGCAGGAGGCAGGCCACTATCAAGCAGGCACTTCATCTTCAAGGGCAAGCAGCCAAGAGACCCGGAGAAGCACTTGCAATTCACTCAACACCAGTCAAGAGTGAAGGCTGGCCCTCAGAAATAGAAATCTACTCACATTTCTAGTACTTTCTAAACATAGGAAATGACTTTCAGAAAATTTGTTTCAAAAAACAGACCACAGACAGCATGTATAACAGTATAATTTTAAGGAAGGGAGTCTGCTCATATTCAAAGGTTGGCACACACACACAAAGTATTTCTGTAAGAACCTGGCTAATGGGCTGCCTCTGAAGAGGGCAACAAGGGAATTAAAGAAGAGGGGAAAATAGACTTTGGACAGATTTTTTTTTTTTAAACATATCTGTATGACTTAAAAGAAGTTAATAATGAAGGTTGTGTCCTTAACAAGTTAATAGTGAAGGCAGTGACACTGTGGGCTCAAGTTATATATGGAGACAAACAGTTAAAACTTTTAGACTGGAAAGAACCCTTACGCCTATTATATATTCTTTTTTGTTTGGTTTGTTTTTTTGAGACAAGGTCTCTCTATGTAGTTGAGACTGCAGTGCAACTCACTATGTAGCCCAGGCTGGTCTGGAACTCACAGTGATCCTCCTGCTTCAGCCTCTTGAGTGCTGGGATTACAGGTGTGCGGCATCACGCCTGGTGCCTATTAGTTATTAACTCAGCTGCTTAGCAAGTCAAGTAATTTTGAGATTTTTCTTCTTCCTAAATCCTACAGAAGAACTCTAAGAATTTATAATCACTGCTTATTCTTACGTCTAGCTGGTAGGAGCTAGTGGCCTCTGTTATGGTATGGGTCTGGATGTTCTCCCAAAGCCTCATTTGGTCAGAAGTAGCTGAATCTCGAATGTGTGATGCTGGAATTAAGGGCTTAGTGGTTTGGCACCACCCTAATCTTGGTAGTCTGGATGGGATAAGAGGCAGAAAGATGTGGTAAAGGTCTCTTGTTGGGTGTTGGGTATTTTGTCTCAGCAACGAGAGAAAAGTAACTAACATGGCCTCTTTAGTGAGAACTGAAACAGAAAGTCAGAGACTTGTCTGCTAAGATCTAGCTCCACCTGAGGCTATAAGACTGGGAGAGCTATTTCTGTCTCTCTAAAGAGAAGCAAACATGCTGATGTTTGGCAATGTATGTAGCATAAGAGAATAGAAGTTAGAGTCAATAGTATCTACTTATTCTCCCAAATAAAAGCCACTCATTTAAAAAGACAGATGGGCAACTCCTTGTACAGAACCACCTCCTCCCAGACTGAGATGATAAAGCCCTGTTTGAGTAAGCCCAAAGAAAAGGGATCATGATCAAGGTATGCTGCACCTTGCTTTAGCCAAACAAGGCAACCCATTAATATTTGAGTGGCAGTGTCTTTTTTCTTCTTTCTTTTTCAAAGACATGATATTAATGTGAAATATACTTTTGTAAGTATACTCTGCACAAATGTATGGCTTTGATGAACTGCCACAAACGGAACACCACTTTTGTTTAGTACCCCAGTCAGGCAGCAGAACATTTCCCCAGAAGTCCCATTGGACTCCCATCCAATCATTGTCCTTCCCCAAAAGGAGAACTCCTATCCTGACTTCTGTTACTGTGGACTTGAAGTAGTTGCTTTTTAACTTTTTAAAGTTCTTCTGATGCTAATTTTATGCCTCTAAATAAAAATACTACCACTAATAACAAACAATGCATTATGAATGCTTACCATATGCAAGGCATGTTATTACCTCATTTAATCTTCATAACAATGCTTACAGGTATGAATTATTTAGCCATCACTTTGTAGACAAAGGAAAAAAGGCACATAGTAGTTAAATAACTTATCTGCTGGCCAAACAACTAGGCCAGAACTTAAATCTAGGCAACCTTGACCCCAGAGCCTATCTTATCCCTTATCTAATACAGGATGGCAGTAAATTTGTTAATTAAGACAGAACTCTTCCAACTGCTATTCAGCTCTTGGTTCACCTTACTCCATCCTGCAAACTGTTGCCAGATTAGAGTTTCTCCTCAAATTTCACTTTTCACTCACAAGTCTCACTAGTTCAAGAAATATTACTGCTATGTGCTTAAGGCTAAGATCTTTGCTTGCCAGGTATACTATGAATAAGCCCTCTTACCTAGCCAGCTTCTTTGCCTGTTCCCTATGTAGTAACTCTAACTCTGTAACATCAAACACATTGTTGGATCCACCCCAGCTGGGCTCTACTATCAACAGTTAGTGTCCTTTAAGACAGAAGCGGAACAGGGACAGAACGGTGAGAGGCAAAACTACTGTATTTTGTGTAGCTTTCATTACAGTATTGGTTATAGGACCTATCTTAAAATGGAATGATCAAGAGAAAAGCAGCAGATCTCACCTGTGAAAAACAAAACCAAAAAACCTTACAACCTGACAACCATAGAGCCAGTAGGTTGATGTTATAGGGAAATGGGAAAAATGTCAAGCAAAACATCTTAATCCATAAGGTACTAAGCTCTTGATAACTAGAGATGTGTAAGAAGGCACCTTTTTACTGCACACTAGGAATGCTGGGAAGGTAACTCTTGTATGGCCCACATAATCTCAGCTGGTACCTGGTTTTTAAGAGTCTGACATGCTGCACAGTGATGCAAATAGCAATATACAAAACTGTCACTTTTTCGTGGCTGAGTGTCCTAACTGCCCGAGATAAACTGTGAAAGAACACAATTTTATTTTTTATCGGTTGCTGTCCCCGCCCCACCTTAGCTGTTAGCCTATGGATATAAAGAATACCACCTCAAATGATTATGAAGTGACTGGAGGCCACAACAGCAACAGAAAAGTAAAGGAAAAAGCAAGATGGCATAGGGTGCTGAAAGTAGAGGCCACTAAGGACAGTTTTCTGCCCTTGCTAAAATGACTTCAGAGGCAGCAGGGATCCTGAATGGCTTTTGAGAATCAGATGAAAAAAATCTTCAGGGGTACACAATGCATTGTGGGAGACAGAAGATATTGTAATAGGAGTTACAGAACCTATGAGATGAATTCTGAGCCAGCTTAGGCCACAAATCCCTAGCCTGTCTTTCCAGACCTTGTATAATAAGTAGCATAGGAGAAGTGTCCTTCCTGTAGAGTTCCCAGGAGCTAGACAGCCTGAGCAAGGCTGTCCCCAGGGGATGGCAGAGGCACACTCACTTGTTACAGTGCTGCTTTAGGTGTTTCTTATAGCCATCATCATGCAAGACCACCTCGGGGTTGCAGGTGGTCAGCCAGTCTGCATTCTTCAGTTCTGGGAGCAGTAGCTGGTTCTTCATCTTCTTTCCTTTCCTCCCTCTAGGGACTGGGGCAGACAATCCTGAAATAGAAAGTGCAGGGAGTGTGGATGAGCCTAGGGGGCTTCGACATGGATATTAAATCAAAGCTGGACTAGAGCTGCAAAGAGGCAGCTTAGTGGTTCCTGGCTGACAGGCCCCACTCCTCAATCCACAGGCTGTGAGGTAAGATTTACCGAGTGTCATGTGAGAATCAAGAACAGCAATATAGCCTGTGCGCTTAAGGCTATTATGATTTTCCTTATGGAAGAAAAGAAGATTAGATTGGAAACCTGAAGGAGAGGTTTGGTCAAATACAAGGAAGAAGAAGAGCACAAGTAAAGGCAAGACAGAGGTGGAACAGGAACAGAAGGATGAAATGAAAAAGGTGAGTCACAGAGCTCAGTTGCGAGTCACTACCTTTGGGTAGGAACCCTGTGACGTACAGGTTAGTGGGTAGGACTACATGTGGGAAACTGTACGAAGCCCAACAGTCCTTTAACAAAATAACACAGGCAACAACGGATGATCCTAAGGGAGATGTGAGAGAATCACCATCCTTCCACACAGGTACCATTCCAAAATATATCTAGAAAGAGAAATTACCCAAAGCACAGCAGTGTGGACCCACAAAGGAGAGGAGATGAAAGTACATGGGAGCTCTTCCACCACTCACCTGAGTGGTTCTGGAGGGTCTGGGCCTGTCCATCTTTGGTAGGTGTGATTAGTTCCCAAATGAAACTCTTGATCTTCTCATCCCCCTTATAATGCTTGACACAGTACACCAGCAGGGCCCGACAAATCATCTCCATGTCCTTCTCATTCAGGTGCCACTTGAATCGCCCATGAGTCAGGATGTCCTTCCACCGGCCCCAGCTGATGGTAGAAATACAAAAGGGCATAGAAGGAGGAAGGGCCATGCATTAAACTTCCACACAACAGGATAAACAAGAGTCAAAAGCATGTCTCATCCTCTTTTGGGCCTGTTAATCACCTTGTGAGTTTTTTCTCTAAGGCCTTTGAAGACTACATCATCGCAGCACTCCAAATGTCACTAAGGTGATCTGAACAGTGGACAATGAGAACTTCATATGGGTTCTAGGTTGTTAAGGGATAGACCAAAATAGTGGATGCAGAGAATAAGCAGAACTGAAACAGTCCAGCTGTAGCATTCAAAAGCAAGGATGAGCTTAAGGAAGCTGAGCCTTCTTCCATTTTTACAGAGCCAGAGCTCTGCACATACCATGCTTTGACTATAACATCTGTTGCACTGACTCCTTATATATCCTTGGGGAGGAAAAATGCAGGTAATCAGCATCAGGCAGCAAATTAGTATTGGAGACTTGCCATGACAAGCATTTGAGAAAACCATAGCACCTGAACATTGACTGCAAAACACACACACACACACACACACACACACACACACAGTGACTCAGGGATTCTGGGCAGAAAGTACAGCTCTCTTCTGTGCCAGCTGATCTTATCAGCCCTGTAACTACAGAGGGTATAGAGAGATACAATAAACAAATCTCAGGCTGGAAAAATGGGAAAACAACAGCAGTGTCATATCAAGCAGAGCTAATACACACCCAAAGATGAGCAGGTTCTTCTCTACTCGGAAGCACTCAGCTCGGAGATAGCGCCTGGCCTTGTCATTGAGGCGTCTGGATCTTGTGGGTCTTTCATCTGAGTCACTGTCTAACTCTGAAAACTCCATCAGCTCATCCTCTTCAAATGAGTTGTAGTGTTTGGTCTGCTTCCTTACGCGAGGCCGGTCGATCACTAAGCTTTCCTAGAAATGAAGAGGACTGTTGGAGAGAAGGCCCCTCTTTTCTCCACTGTCATCACAATGCATAGCTATATCCTGCTGCTGTTCCTCAGGGCACATCTGAAAAAGCACCACACCCATTTCATCTTCTGGAAGGAAAAGCTCTTCACAGCACACCTGCTGTCTCCATCACTACAGCAAAAGCAGAAGGGATTTTCTGGGACTTGCTCAAGTTGGCATGTTCATGGGTGCCCAGGGGCTGTCAGCCACCATCTGCTGTCATTCTAATGGGAGTACATGCAGGCAAGGTCCCTGAGTACCCAGAGTGGTGACCTGTGCTTGCCAAGAAAGCCTGGAGTGGTGAGCCCCAGTTGTCCTGCTAGCATGACTGTCTCCAAAGCAGTCTACGCTTTGGAGACAGGACAGGGCAGGGAACTCCACATGCACAGCAACTTTCTAAAGATAAATATATATCCTTCTGCTTCATCATCTGCCTACTCTAGTACTAGCCACTAATCTTTTGTCTTTTGCCAAAACACAAAATCCCTAGCTTAGGAATCTCACTCATTCTGGTGGCTCCCCTGACCACACCCACTGCCTTCTCTAATCTCATTTCCTTTTCCTCATCCCATCCCCACTTCTTTCAGGGCCAGGATAAATCCCTACAAACTCTTAGTTCAGACAGCCAACTTCCAGGGTCATCCCTGCTTCAATGGTCTTGCTTCCCACCTTGCAATGCTCCCACTGCTTTTTTGCTGCCTACAGGGCAGGAGCTCTTCCTTTCCCTCTCTTCCCCACTGTTTTGCACAGAGTGGTTTCTTGATTATAACACTGTAAAACACTTAAAGCAGATCACTATAAGAGATTCAGAAGCTTCTCATTTAAGAGGGAAGAAAATAATTCTATTTGGAGAAAGGATGCTGGATTAAGCAAATGCTGGAGGTCTTACAGCAAAATAGTTATAGCTGGATACTGGACACTGCCTTAGCTGCATGTAAGAAGTAAGGACTGTCTCATGGGTTTGTGGACCCACAAGAGTTCAACATTCAACGAAGACAGGCAGAAAGGATATGTACTTATCCTAAAGTGAGGTGACAAGGAAGGGAAACTCAAGGAAGGGAAAGTAACATTTTATGGTTATCTCACAGGTGGCTGGGCACCATGCCAACTGTATTTACAAATGTGATCTCACATCCTGTCTGCAGTATAAGGCTTTATCACCTCGTTTTTTTCTACTTGTGTGATAAGGTCCATCATCTTATACAAAAACACACTCTGCTTTCATTACAAAGCCCATTCTCTTTCCTATGTTCAAAAACAGGAAAACTTGAGCATTGAAAAAAATGGAGGAAGTGCTAACAACCTTTTCTTTGTCATGTTTTTCTTTTCCTCTTCTTTTTACTTGTCAGGGGTGAGATGGCTTTCACAGAAAGTATGGAAACAGAGAAAAACAGTCACACGCTAAGGATGGTATGATGGCACAAGGCAAGAGGCTGAACTTGATCTGTTTGGCCAGTCCTGGCAATAACTGCATTTTTGGAATCTCCCAGTTATGCAGCAGACTCTATATCCCATTAGGTCATTGTAGAGTTATAATAGCTAACATTTAGTGTTGTCTAGGTGCCCACCATGTTTTCCAATAGTATCTCAGTTAAGAACCAAGACTCAGGATTAAATAATGACCTGAGGTATGTAGAAATTTATGGCTATATGAGAGAGCAATGAAGTGGTCAATGGAATGAAATATGCTGTACCTTTTCATTCTTTGCTTCAGTGTCCAGTTCAGCTATTTTGGCCCATTTCTGCCAAAAGTTAGGATCATCTAAGGAAATATCTGTCCGGTTTCCTGAAGCCACAAAGCTAGCCTGCAAAGGACACGAGAATCAGTAAACTGTGGTTGAACAAGGTTCAAATAAAAGTTGTATTATTTCAAAAGCACCAGAAAGTTAAATATATTATCTGTCTACACATCAAAACAAAAATCCCTAACAGTGCTTCCAAAATAAAAATGTGAAAATCTCAAGGCTAATTTTTTTTAAAAAAGTTTATTTTAAAGACTTGGTGAGGAGATCACAATTGCAACTGATATTGATTTTTGGAACTTAATATGTTCCTGCTGGCTTGACCCACCAGTAGTACAGATGACTGTCCAATTGACTGGGACACCCATCGGGGTGGTGCTACAAACATGTCTAATCATGCTTATCAGTCTTTTTACTAATAAAATTAAAAAGTCTACAAATGGACCAAATCTAGTTAATTACTTGAATTCAAATAGTTGTTGCCCCAAACAAAATATTAATTAATGCTACTAATAATTAAATTATTACAATAATTAAATTTATTTCATTAAATTAAAAGAAATTTATTTACAGTTGTGAACAGTTTATCAATAATTAATTCACTAAATTTTAACATGGAAATCTCACAAGCACCCCACTGCTGATGTATATAATATGTATTCACAATTGAAAATAAGCTGTATTATAATTTTTTACACCATTTTAATATAACACATTCACAATAACTTTTATGTCTTGATGCTGGGTGATTCTGAGTTCAATTCCATCATCTAATGTTAAGTAGCTAATCACCAGTGGTTCACCACCTGGTGGGACAGTCAGGCATAATGCACTACCAGTGGTTCAAAACAATGGGAATGAAGGAATTCAAATCCGAGCTGCCTAGCAATGAGACATACAAATTATAATCCCATATGAACATATTAAACCTGGAAGCAGGCAGAAACCCATGGAAGACAACAGCAGCGTTACTTGGTTATGTAACACTAATGTATTATTTGGTGTTTAGTTCCCTTTTATAAAGGATTTATTCTTCAAGGTTTTTCTAGATTTAATTTTCCTTCAATAGTTAACCAAATGTTTGCTCTAGAAAAGGCACTGAAGCAACACATTACCCATGTCTCTTCCTGCAGAGCACAAAACTTCCTACAAAAAAGTCTTATGTAAGTCATCAAATAGGAGACTGACTCAAACAGATCACAAAGCTCACAGACAAAATAGCAGAGCCTATGGCCAGGGTAACCTGAGAGTGATCTGTAACTTCTAAAGCCAGTGACCTAGCTAGCACAGGAAGGAGGCCCCAAGACTAGAAGCTAGGAATCTTATATAAAATCTTTTTTCCATTAAATGAGCAACATGTTTGCTTGCAAGTGAGGAATGGAATGTTCACTGAAGATCCACTCTGACAGTGATTGAAAGTGTTCTACAAACAAGAGAATCAAGATAACTACTCAAAGGTTCTGGAGCAGTCCTCATGAAGAGTAGACAGTCAAGTGCAGGCTAGAATCCAGCTTCCTGCTAACTGTCAGCTCTGAAAGACTCAGTACTTTTCCTTCCACAACCCCGCACTCACTATTGACCTTCCCCAAGCATCTGCATCTACATTTTCCAGGAAGTCACAGATCACATGTGCAGCCAAATAATTTCCAGAGTTTGCATTCAGAGAAATAGAAGCCTTGCTAAAAAAGGGTTGAAGAATAAGTGATGTTCTTTTCTTTCCTACCCGCAATGACAGAAGGTCTTGTACCTTAGCAAAAGTGGACCCTTTCCCTTCGGACTGGATGGTGATGGTGTGAGTTCGCCTTTGCAGAATCTGGTCTATATCTTCTTCACAGAATTTGGAGCCTTCATCCTCCTCATCCATTAAAGCACCATAAGCACCTTTCCGGAGCAAATCCTCCACCTCCATTTTTGAAAGCTGCTGTACCTGAAGAAGTCACCAAAGGCTACTCACAAAGTGGAAAAAGTGTTGGAGAAAAAGCCTCAAATTAGGCCTTATGATTCACTATACAGTTCCTCCACTAATTGAACATATCAGAATGAACAAAGGTCAGGAAAAACAAACTTCAAAAAATGAAAACCCAGTTAAGATATCCCGTATTTTCTCTGGGGAGAGCAGACAGACAATTTTCTATAGGGAGCTCTGGAATAAAGCCCAACACACGATCCAAGAGTCCTAATATTCTTTGGGATGCTGGCTATCAAATGTCACAAGCCATTAAAACTATGCACCATTGCAGAAAATATATTTGACATATAAAAAAAATTTAGTTTGAGACCATATCTTTAAAATCCCCCAGATGTACAAAATAAGCTGAAGAATAATTTACTCATTATTAAACAAATATATTAGTATTGGAGTGATGTCATTTCTTAACAACAACAACAACAAAAAAGGATCCTGTGCCAAGGGTGACCTTCTCTACTTGTTGAAAACAAGAAATGGGATTCAAAACACCCTCCCTGGGTTCTAATTAAGAATCTGGTTCTTCTTACATCAATCACAAGTCAGAATTCAATAACTTTAAGGATGGGTAATGTAAAGTATACTTAGCAACATATGCAAACAAAGAGGATATAGAGCATCTGGATCAAAGAAAACTCACTTAGAAGTTTTAATTCTCAATTTCTGATGCTCCAAACCCAGAGATTAAGGAGATATTCTGATGTTTGCCTATATTTTAAGCCTATTTAAGAATCTTAGCTACAATTTAAATCCCTTCCTTAAGGGAGAAAAACATTTCAACTGCCATAGCTACTAATTTATTCATTCATTCTTCACTCACCACACCACATGGAGCATCTTTAATATGCTGTGCACTGTTGGGGTCCATGATGGACACAAGTACACTATCATACCATTAAGAAGCTCAAAGTCTGGATTATGAGATAAGGCAGGTAACAAATATATATTTACACAGTAAAGAATATTAAGATCTATTGGCTTCCTTAATGGACATGGTTAAAAACTGTTTTCTAAAGTATTGCATGTTGGTCAACTGTATTGCATAACTATTCCTAGAGATTTTTGTTACTCACCTAGAAAATGCACAGACCTGACCCCTAATTATCCTCTACTGTAGAGAATTAGCCAACATGATGTGTGGGCTGACTCAATATGGTGACAGGAATCCAGAAACAACTGTCAGGAGGAACAATCCACAGAGACCTGTACTGCATAAGTATCTCCACTCCAGAACAGCCCCAGCAAACTTACTCCATTGGTGCCGCCTTTTCGGTTGATGTCCTGAAGGACAGCCTTGTCTAGGCCCAGCTTCAGGCTGGCCTTGTCAAACATTTCCCGCTCATAGGAGTTCCGAGTGATGAGGCGATACACCTTCACAGCCTTGCTCTGGCCTATACGGTGACATCGGGCCTGAGCCTGGGAAGGAGGAGGGTGACACATATTGTATCACATGTGCATAATGACAACAGCCTGGGAATAGGAGTGCTTACATAGGTAACGTGAGTGGCCAGTTCTCACATTTATGTGCCACAGGACTGGTTTCAGAACAGAATTCCTCCAAGTGTCAGTTGCCATCTTGGGATTACTCATTTCTTCACCCATTGTTTACTGACTACTATCAGAAATAAAGAAAAGGGAAACTTGCGGTTCATGTGCAAGCACCTGTGAGGTGATATACTCATTCCCAGGAAGATGCCCTTTCCTCTGGGAAATGCTCCAGAGCTGGCAAGACCACTTAAATTTAAAAATGTAAAATATAAAAAGAGACAAAACAGAGAAAAGTATAATGACCGCTTATGTACAACCTTGTTTCTACTATGCTCTCACCCTCCAAGACAGTGAGGAGGCAAATCCTAAGCATCATACTGTTTCACCCTTGTGTATTTCAGTGTGTCTTTGTAAAGTATATTATAACGTGTCATATTACCACTGCTACACTCAAATTCTTAGTGCCAACTACCTAAACAGTGTTCCAACCTTCCTGATTATCTCATAATTTTTTACTTTACATTTGCTTGTTGAATAAGGAGCCAAATAAAGCTTATACATTACTATCAGTTGATGTTTCAAGTCTTTTTGTCTGTCTTATGGTTTCCCACAGCTAACATCTTGCTGATGGCATTCTGTTGTGTCACTGAACCAATGCCTCTCTTCCCTATCTATCCTCTAAATTGAGTTTTATCTTTGGACTTGATCAGGCTAAAATCTGATTTTTGGCAAAATATTTCATAGGTGAACCTTCAATTTCCACCAAGAGGCATATCTTATCTGCTTGCCTTTTTCTAAACTGAACTCAGTACCTAAATCCATTAATTTATTAGTGGATATAGTTTCTCCCATCAGTTTTTTTGGGCTATCCTGATGTACCATTAATAGCAGGAAAGCAAGCTAAACATTTTAGTCCCTTTATTTCATCAGTTTCCATAATTATCCTCCAATGTCACTAATGAAGATTTTTAATTTTTAAATGGAACACAATGAAACCATGCATTGATCATACTGCTATGTTTTTTATTACACTGCAGTAATCATTCTCATTGCTATTCATATATGACTCATGAGAGTCTTCAAGTTCTAAGTTCTTTCAACATTATCCAGTCCGCTACGGAAAGACTACAATAAACTCTGCACTGTTAGAATAGATATGGAGAAATCAGTATGAACTTATGTGTATAAGTATTATGTAAGTGTGATATGTGTATATAGCTATGTGTATATTCATACATACATACAAATAGGGAAATAGATATGGATAGGTGTGTGATAGTAAGTTCCTGAATTACGGACAAGTTCCTTTCTGGGAGAACGTTGATAAGTTAGATTTGTTCGTAGTCTGACAAAATAAGTCTTATATAGTACACCTGAAAATTCACAATTTGAATGTTTATAAGTTGGGGACTTACTCTATTTATGTTTATATATTGCATAAAGACAGCAGTCTTTGATGGTTTCCTTGCTTTCACCATGCTGCACACTACTCTTAAATATCTATCTTCTGCTCAAAGCTGGACCCAGCTGTTTGTTTAAAGGAGTCCTAGCTTCTTTTAGTGAGAAATGTTTTGTCTAAGTAAGCAGAGTGCTTACTGACATCGAAGGGAGGAGTGGCCACATCAGGTCCCTTCTTGCTTTGGACAGAAGTGGCCCAAAGCAGTGGGGAACGAGGCCCTGGCTCCTTGGTGATTTAGTGGCAGAGCAGTACCGGATCCATGGACTCCTGATCTGGCCCCATTGTCTTACTATGATCCCAGAGCCCAGAATAGTAAATGATGACTCTGATGCAAGGCTGTTTAAAGGAAGTTGATATACTAGCAAATACAGGTTAGAAGGTACTGGGCGCAGGGAAAGAGAATGAACTCAGGGTAGAGATTCTAAGTCTGCCTAGCATGGTCCCTGTGTCCCACACCTGCCCTGCCCCCAAATTCTCCCTAGCCTCATGGCTTAAACACACAACAGAGTTCCTATTACTCAGTGCTAATGTGGCATAAAAACTGGGGATGGAGACACAGGAAAGCCTACCAGAGCATGCCTCAGAGGAGGGCAGAGGCACAATTAGGAGTCCCTTGACCTAGGCTCAAGCACTGCATGCTGCTGCCTAGCCCACTGTGTTATTTTAGCCCTCCTAGTGATTAGAAAACTTCGGATCTCCTTTAATCTCCAGGACCACAAACAAAACAAGACAAAACAAAACACAAACAAAAAGCAAGGAAGCTAGCTTTGGAGTACATATTGGTAACCACAATTCACAAATCTTGAATTACCACATTGTTTCCAGAGTAAGAGGGAAGGAGAATTTGTTATCCACTCTTACTTTCTCAAATCAGCAACGGCAGTCACTTCCTAGGAGACACAGAGCCCAATAAAGAAGGAGCTGATATATGAGTGGTTAGCAGGAGTTCATGAACAAGGTCTGGCAACAGCACAGACCCTGAGTTCGTGCACGACGGGCCTACTAGCAAGATCAGAGCAAAGGTGTCACGGTGCAGGAACTACTCATTCTTACTCTATGTGGCCAGGCTACAGGGCAAATAACTAAGAAACAGTTCAGCCACAGAAAGGAAAAAGGAAATGTTATTTGATGACAAAAATCTGGATGCTTCAGGAGTGTTCACTAATGTAAGTTTGGTTATTGTTTCTAGATCTTTTCAGTGAACAAATAAAGGGAGCTTGTGTGTGTGTGTGTGTAACATCATGTACATATTTAAAACAAAATACATCACTCAGTCATGTTAATATTTTTAGGTTAAAAACTTCATCACGGACTGGGGATGCAGCTCAGTAGTAGAACACTTGCTTGGCCTTGGCATGTGTGAAACCTCAAGTTTGATCCTCTGAAGTAACAAAAAAACTTCATCAACCTCACATCTCTATTTCTCTTCAATCACATTGAAAACCTCACTTCTCAATCACCTCAGTATCATTACTCATTCGACTGAATTCATGTCTGTCTGTGTGTTTATAACAGGCTCAGGAGAATAAAACCATTACAATGCACCCAAAGCATAATTACTGAAAACAGTGTAAAATTTTGGGTGCCTCCCATTCTTAGGGTTATATATCCTACTAAGTATGTCCAGTCAAACTATAATGTTTATAACACACAATCGAAGAAAGGGTTTTTATTTGGTAGCAGCAGGGTTAACAATCCTGAAACTACTCATGTAATCTAGGATTGAGCAAATATCCTGGAGTACAAGCTTTCCCTGTTGGAGAATGACATTACAAATATGGAAAGAGCCGGGGATTTAGCTCAGCGGTTCGGTGGCCTGCCTTGCAAGTGCAAAGACCTGAGTTCAATCCCCAGTATCAAAAACAAAACAAAACAAACAAACAAAAAAAAACAAATATGGAAAGAAAGAAGAGCAGGAAAATCTCTATGGTGTTAGAATGGATGGGAGAAATAAAGTACAAACTTGTTGTGTACACACATACAGATGTAGAAATATATACAGATGCTTCTGTATATGTTTATACATATACACCAGTGAATGCATGTTGTAAAACAGGTGTATTTCTGTTCTGTTTTTAAGTATCTATGCCTATTTTAGCTGCATCCACTCAGAAGCCCTAGAAGCAGTGCTGTTCCAGTACCAATAAGAAGGCCTAACTCCCAGATCCTTGTTTGTAGTTATCATTCTCTATAAGTCATTCAAGAAATATTAGATAAATGATTAACTACAGGTAGGGCTGGAGTAAGAAAAGTACAAAATAAGCCTGAAACACATCACTGTGTGTGATGTAAGGAAGCAGCTCAAGGTGTAATGGACACCTATCAAAATAACACGTGAATAGTCTCCAACTGGCTAAGACTAGAACCATATGAATATCAAAGCTGATACTGATAAATTATAACTATGACTCAATAGTGACAAAAACAAATGGAAGAAAAAGGAGAAATACTTCCTTAGAATAGAATTCCAAATAACAACTGACAAAATTAGAAAAATCACCACTTCAAGCCAGGTGTGGTGGCCCATCCTTATAATCCTGGAAAGAAGATCGCTGAGAATTTGAGGCCAGCCACATAGTAAGTTCAGAGCCAGCCTGCAAGACCGTGTATCAAAAAAATCGAGAGAGAGAGAGGGAGAGGGAGAGAGGGAGAGAGGGAGAGAGGGAGAGAGGGAGAGAGAGAATGCAAAAGTAGAGTTTTATAAAAAAATAAAACATATGAAAGTATTTATGTAGAATAATTCCTGAGAGTTATGCTTGATGTACATATTCTTAGTTTGCTTTTGAATCTAAAAGATGACTGTCTCATCAATAATTTAACCACAGTGAAAGGAGTGGGGAAAAATTAAGTAATTTTGGAAAATGGTATTTTGATTATATAGTGTAATTCTAATGACTAAACAGCCTACTATGATTGATATTAAACTTTAGTAAATTTATTTTTTTGTAAAATATTAGCTACCATTTCTAAGACTACTTGATATTTTTATTCTAGAATTGAATAAGTGAGCAAATATATTAAGTTCTGATATGGATATCTAAGCTTCTCCCTGTCAGTGAAAGAAGTTTCAAATAAGGAAGAGAAGAAGGCTATAAATGAACTGTGTAGTGTTAGACTAGAATCAGAAATCTCACATAGGGTCTAGGAAAAATAAAACTCTAGGAGAAATGGGCATAGCTAGTAGCCAGATCTTAGTTTCTAAGTGCTGTTCTCAAATAAAAAGAACAAGAGACCCTTGGGGAAATGGTCAGTTCTATTTATGTCAGAAAAAAGCATGACATGAACCTGAACATCTTTTAGTGGCAAAAAGTAAGGAAGTCCTCAGAAAAGGATGAGAGCATGTCAAAGGACATAGGAACCAAACTGAGAGAAGCTAATGCCAAACTGAATGAGATGAGAACAAAAGAAGGGAGAGCAATGGATTGTAAAATAAAACAGCCAGGTGCTGCATGAAATCTCAGCTACTCAG